ATTCGAATTGCTCCGCGACACGGTGCGCGCACACGGGCCCGCACATTTTATCCCACAGTACGGCGATAAAACATCCGACGGTGACCTGTCGCATAAAAAAATCCGCCACGTGAGCCTGCCGCCCGGGACCTTAAATGTTCCAGACTTTTACATTGTTTCCATTTCTAAGTTTGTTGGGACCACCCTGCAGGGTGCCAACAGTAGACGGCGAATATATATTATATATATATATATAATTATATATATGTACTCTATTATGTTATCTATGTTATTTTATATTATCTATCTATTATTATGTTCCCTATTATCTACTTCTGCTATTATGTACTCGGGATATATATGTATTATCAGGAGTGAATAGAAACAATTTGTTATTCACTCCTGGCATTATGTATACATCTATATAAAACATTAGACAATAAGTATGACTACATTCAGATTCAATATGCTTAAATCAATTCTTAGCACTCAATCTGTGTTAGGATTTGACAATATATATAAGCTGCAGTGCAAGGTCATTCATACGTAGCCTTGTTTACCATCTTAAGTATGACTAGACTAGCATGATACTTCTCTTCTAAATATTGTATCTTCACACCACTACGCACACCGCCATTATTAACGGTGTGACTTCGAATAACCGATACCTTTTAACTACTGCTTGTCTTACTGCGCTCACCCATCTTACATGCTCTGCCATAGACGATGAAACTATACACCGCAGCTGCCGAGACGTACACATATATATACACACACACAGCACAGTGTGTTGGCATGCTACTGTTGTTTTGTTGCTCAAGCTTCAGTTAGACTGCCCCTTCCTCACTTCTGCACGCGTGCTAGCAGGAGGCTGGGCGTGCGACTGCCTTGTAAACATCCTCCGGGGAATAAAAACTTGCTCACAGTTTTCTGGATTTTGCTCCAGTACTTGCAGTACACCTCCTTGCTATTAGTGGAAATTTACTGAGCAGTTGTTATGTCATGACTGTACGAGAATGTTTACGGAAGTATGAATCGATTATACAGAGCAACAGATGAAAGCAGATACTGATTCTTATCCCTGTTTGATACCAAAGACTGAGAATTGTTATTGTAATAATTTTTCAGTGATTATTTTGAGTAACAACATTTGAGCGTATGACCCCTATTAACGATAGGCAATACGTATTACACTGTATTACAGTCTTTGAACCAAATTGACACATATATTTAGTACTATCATTCACGGAAAAATAGTGCAGTTTCATGTTGAGGCAGTGTGGAAAGTTTAATCAGCTTGCTTATTTTTTTGCACGTTTTACGTATAGCTCTCGGGGGTGGACGCACACATGTAAGAGGAGGAGGAGGAGAATGAGTCGGGTAATGTGGGCAGCTAGCAATGAAGCTCAGTCAACAATGGAAGCAGCGCAAATCCACCGTCCCTCGCAGCAGCAGCAGCCATGGAGTGAAGGAGGGGGTGAAACAGAGTGACACTGCCACAGCTAACACTCCCAAGCAGTCGTCTAGGTAATATATAATATAATATATATATATATATATATATATATATATATATATATATATATATAATATATAATAATAGAGCAAGCAACTTCTAAGTGCCAACATTAGAAATAGCATATCGGTATTTCTTTACGTGGTCCTTTCTGTTACAAATGCTAATCTGTTGCAAATAGTAATCTTTTAGAAACAATTCGTTTAGGCCGGTAAAATAATAGATCATCTTCTGATAGCGTTGAAGAGTGTGGGAATCGTAGTTGCATCTGAGCGAAACGAATGTTTAAAGCCGCGAAGAAGTATTCACGAATCTTCGCGTTTAACTAGAGCTCTCCGTTTGCAGGCCGTCTCGTGGCAATGACGTCACTCGTACAAATTGTGAGTTGAGAGGTGAGGCACTCCCCAGAGAAACCAATGCTAGACAGTCTGCATCGGACTTCTCCTTTGGATCTTCTTTTAGCAACGACCTAGACGAAGATTTCTTTAACGCGGTCGATAAACTGGAGCAGGACTTCTTAGGTGAGACTACTCGATAACAACGTTTCGAGTGAGAAGATTGACTGATGTGACGATTCATTTTGCATTCGTCCTCCACGTGTTTCTGACTGAACATTAAAAAAACGTTAGCCTTTTTGAGCATAGTACACTTTAGCATGCAGGAGATCACATGCTACTTAAACAGGGGTAGAAATTAACTTTTTAACAATGGAGTCCAACGTGCCCTGAAAAAGAGGAAGTCCGCAGAAAAATGAGTCTGTAGTCTGAAGTTTAAAAAATTGCTGAAGAAATACGGTAATTCTGTGAGGCCGTGCTCTGGAACGAACTAGTTAGTATAGCAGAATTTTCAGGGAGTCGCACGGACTCCTGCATATGTCAAATCAGGGAGTATTTGACTCCGGACTCACGTTAATTTCGCACCTTGGTACTATCAGTTTGTAGCACTGAAATTTCGTCGTCAATTTCAGACAAGCAGCCGACAGAAGTCGTGCAGCATGAAGCATCTGTGTCGCGTAGCACCGCCGTCACCGGCCGCAGCAACGCTTCATTCCGCACTCCCACCGGCGTCCCCTCGTCCGTGAAGCTGCACAACACGAGGAAGCGTTGCCATGGCACTGCGACAGCGCGTGGGGAGCAGCGGTCCCAACTCTCGTCTTCCCCGAAGATCACGGACTATCTCGCGAAGGCGGCGCGCCGCGCGGCAGTCGACGACGATGCGGCGACGCGAGAGTGTGTCGAGAAGAAACGCGTCACGCCGGCTACGTCGCGCCGTGTGGCCTCGTCGGACGCCTCGAAACCCACAGCCGTTGCAGATGCAGAGGCAGCTGTCGCCGCCGGTGATGCAGACGACCGCACGGGTCGGTGTGCGCTGTCGTCCCGTCGCGCGGCGTTCCTGCGGGAGGACGATGCGACGCCGACTGCAGACGCGGATGCAGGTGTCGTCGTCGCCGCCGGCGACAAGGACACGGACGCGCGTCGCACCCGGTGTGAGGGTCGTGCTATAGGTGTCGCCGCCGCCGCACGCGAGTCTGCTGCCCCCGCCGCTGCCTGTACCACTGCTGCTGCCTCCGCCGCTGCCTGTACC